AATATTCAAATCTTGTAAGGGAAATATCTCATTTTAGAAGACTGTATTACGCTTTGTAATTGCAAGCAATGGAACAAATTTTCCGTTTTGTTTTCTCATTTTATTTTATTGACTATCGACATGTGTCCCTATTCGAATACTGCTATTAGTATTCGATACACGTACAAATTTTCGTGATAAGTGATAAGTAAAAGTAAGTAGAAAAAGAAATATACTGTTTTTTTTTGTCTTTGGATACTAATAGGTTTTAGAAAGGAATACAAACAAAAAACTGTGCAATAAAAAAGGCTGAACTCCTGTAAAAGAAATGAGCCATCTAAACATATACAAGCATACTCAAACGAAAATGTAAGTGTTACTGATAATTCCAGAAAAGCACATCACTCTTCCGTATATCTTATTTTTAGATAAAATTAATAGTTTTATATGTTAAGTATTTAGAGCTGTTTTAGAGTGTAAACCCAACTAGTTTAACCTGCCATTTCTTTTTCACTTGATCATTTTCTACATTTATGTACAGTTGCATGTGTTATGATTACGAGAGAACAACGAAAAAAGAGAAAATGATTGTTCATTCTATTGTTTTCTTTTGCTTCGCGTCTCTAACTTTTATTTACAAATAGTTTAACTAGAGAGAGACAAGGATGTAATAATAATTATGTCAAACGTAGACGTTCAAATGATCTCTCTTAGCTTGTTAGTTGGCAATGATCTTGATTACGAGAGATAAATGTATATATAATCCTATATGTCTCTTTCGGAAAAAAAAGCCAAATTTATGCATTCTCTATTCTCTTATGTAAAAATAAAAATACCTGATTGTGCTTGATGACAATAATGAACAATATTGTCAACGAAAATAAACCGGTTGCAACATCATGTTGGACGTATTTGACTACAAAAATATTTCATCAGTTGATTGTTATTCGGTAAGAGTCAAGTTTTTAGATTAACAAATGATAATGATTAATAATAACAGAGTTCTTCGAAATTAGTTTTAAAATTCTATATATATATTTCGTTTTTGCTGGTTTGGAATAGTTTATTTTTTTCTCATTTATTATTGAATTTAGGCGATGATGGTGTAATTAGATGAGCTTTATGAACTTCATTCTCTTTCACCGTATATATACAGTCAACAGAAGAGACAATGCGCTGGCTCTAGTTATAATACTGTAGAAGAAGTGAAGTTTTAAGACATTTTATCAGTTACTTGAAAATAAAGGTATTTCATATCACGATTATTACATTGTTCACTCTGTTATAGTGATTAATCAAATGAGACTATTTTTTTAACTTTCTCATTTGTAAAACTCGACAATGACGAATATATCGAGTGAATATGTATGTACAGAAGATGTGTATATATGATGATAACAAAACTCAAATTTGATGCCATCATAGATAGAAAAAATAGTAAAAAGAAATGAAAAGGAAGAAGTAGCACTATCATCGATAGATAGTTTATATTTCACTGCTTATTTTTACAGAATATATACATTTTATATTCAAAACTTATCTGGAGAAAAAAAGAAAGAACGAAATTAATTATTATCCAAAAAAATGTTTTTTTTTACTGACATGTTCGACCAGTGAAATGAAAAATGGACAATTGCACGTGATTGAATTTTAACAAAAACAATGAAAAGAGATGATACATTTTTTGAGAGATAACAAAGTATTCATTATTATAAGAATAAAAACAACAACAGTATATACTCCTTGAAAAATGTAGCATACTTTGTACATTTAGCATTACGCGAAATAATCTCAAACTTTCCGTTCCTTATTAGTCTCTTATCTTTAAAAATGTCTGCTCATTTTTTGTTCTCTGGACTACAAATATGCATGTTCACTTTATAAATTTTGTTGATTAACTGCTGACAAGACGATACTGACCACAACGCTTTTTTGTGACAGAATTAATATTAAAAATGTCATTTGAAAAGAAAAAATTTCTTCCAAAAGTTCGAGATTTTAAAATTTGGCCAGATAAAGATGTAAGTACCAATTCTGTCTTGCTTTTTTGAGTTATTAGTTCATAAACATGTTTTATTCTTTGATGGCTCTAATCGATTCAAATGAACATCTATAATAATTATAGTTAAATGTTTAGTACCAGTTCAATAATAACGAATGATTAAATTTTAGTTTTTTAATAGCAACAGAGGGAGGTAAAATAATAGTCTATTTACTATTTTCAGCGAAACCTTTTAAATACGAAATAAAAAGTCTAAAATTTTTTAAAAATTTGTCTGAAAGTTCTATTATCTAACGTAATCTCTTACTTCGTATTTGTTGAAATAGATGACCGATGTACAACAATTACCATCATTATCATCGGCGACGGCATCTGGCATATCATTACAGCAATATTCGACGATAACAACTTCTGACCGAGCAACATTAAAAATCGAAATACCATTTACTGACCATGCACATTGTATTGGACGACAAGGAAATCAAATTCAGACAATTATGAGTTCAACCGACACACATATTCATTTTCCCGATGGTAATCGTGATCCAAACGGTATAAAATCCAATCAGGTAAGATAGAATTGTATGTTTAAATTGTAACTATTCATCTAGAACATATAAATAAATTTCAGGTATCAATATCCGGTTCAATAACGGCCATCGAACAAGCTCGACAACGAATACGTGTAATTTTTCCTTCAATATTTTCATAATAAATAGTAGATAAACTAATAATTCTTATTTTAGGAAATTCTTCCAATGTCACTAAAATTTTTGATACCCCCAAGTCAATTATTGAATATTGTAAATGACGAATATCCATTATTTAAAAATGTTCGAACACGTTTTAATGTTGTTGTTATGCCAAGACCTTATGCTAAAACGGGTGAAGTTTATTGCATTGTTCGTGGAATGTAAGTTGTATGAGTTAATCATATGAAAGTAATAAAATTCTTATACTTTCACATAAATCATCTAGGATAAATCAACCTGGATTAGCTGAAGGTGCCGAATATTTGATTCAATCATTTTATGGTTGTGAAGCTGTAAGTATACCATCGTTCTTTTTTTTATTAATACATTAATATATATAAATCTATTTTCAGCCATTAGTCACTGTAACGTGTCAAACAGAAATAAGTGAACAGTATCATGTTTATTTACAAACACGTCAACAACCAAAAGATCTTTGTATTTCATCTATTGAACTTTATACACGAACACAAATACAATTTCCATTGTGTGCATCACAACAACAAGATATGTCAAATTCATCATCGTATGCTCGTCGTACATCAGTGATTATTGTGGGATCTCCGGCAAATGTTTGTTTAGCTAGACAATTACTTGACGTAAGATAAACTATGATTGAATAACTGTTAAGTTATTAATATTGATTCATTTTTAGTTTTGTTTACCCATTATATTGACTTTTGAAATACTACCTGACAAAGAGCCAAGTCGATGTAAGAAATATTTAAATATTTTAAAAAGTCTATAGGTTTTTATTTTAATATTATTTATTTTTACTTAAGTTCTCACAGCTCAATTAAAAGACAAACTGAATGTAACAACGACATTACGAACGCGAAAAGATAAAATTGGAAAAGTATGATAGCAGAATTACACTTTTTATTACGAAAAAAAACCGATTAATAATAATAATTATGTTGTAGCTAGTCACTGTTCAATCGCAAGAATGGAATGTTGATAATTTATATCGAGCAAGATCAAGTATGCTTGGATTTTTGCAAGATGAATTATTGCTGAAAACATCAGTCACTAATAATGATATTCAACCACCACTATCAAATGTTGATTTATTTGATTTAAGATTAAAATTAAACGGTGAGAAATTATGTGTGTAAAAATAAATAGCTCGTTTTTCCCACCTATTCAAATCTTTTCTGATAAAAGAAGGATAATTGAATAAATTTTTGTTTTCTTTTAGATGGTACTGCATTTGGACATGATTTAACAAGTAAGATGACCAAACTTCATTGAAGACTAATTAGAGTATAATGTCTATTTAGCTCAAACGACAGTTCTGTTAACGCCGTCAAATTTTCCCGATATTTATATTCCACTTGAAACTGGTAGTGCTTCATGTTATATATCGGATCATGACTCAAAATCTATTAATAATTCGTCCATAATAGCAGCATTACCACCACCTCCACCGCCACCACCGTTATTACCACCTCCACCACAGTTGTATGTAACTATGAACTTTCTCATTAACCAATTTTCATGTTCAGTTTGCATTTTAAGAGTTGAATATATGAAAAAACCAATTGGACATGAACGTTTAACATCAAAAAGTAGGACGTTGTTTTATAATAAAAACGCATATGATATTTGTAATCTTTGTTTCTTTTATGTTTCAGACCTAGAAACTAGTGACAATGACATTATCATTTGGCCTGATCATTCACTTCCATCGGTAAGGTGATTGAACTCTTTTTCAAAAGACGAAATGTACATAGCATTTCTTTCTTGATAGATGCTTATATTTGATAATACACCATCGTTTAATTCGACAAATCAACTGAAAAATGATTCATTATGTCGAGATGGTATTTTTAATTAATTTTTGATCTTTTCCCCTTCTCATTTGTTCTAATTTTTGTTATATCGAATTTAGATGTCACTCATATGGCATTGTCAAATGATTGTCATACAAAACTATATGTTTTGCTTCGTTCCCTTGGTTTAGAAAAATATTGGCCAATCTTTGAAAAAAATGAGGTATAATAAACCTGATTTTTAATATATCAGCTTATCCTTTTTTTGCATTAGTTATCAGAACAGTTTTATTCGTTTCCTATAGATTGATTTCAAAATGTTTTTATCGATGAGTGAAAGTGATTTAATACAAATTGGCATTGAAGCGTTTGGTGCCCGGCGAAAAATACTTCAAGCAGCATTAGGTATGTACGTAATTAATTTAAAAATATCAGAAATAAATAAATACACTAATTTGAAATATTCTTCGTTTTATAGATTATACGATGCTGAATAAACAAGTTGGTGCTGTTATCTAATGTTTTATGGAACATCTTTTGGCTAAGTTTGAACTAGACAAGCCAATTCGACGATGTTCTATATAACTTTTATTTTAAAGAATTTGAGAACTATTTATGATTTTATTTCAAATAAATTTAAACAGACTGTTTTCGTTTTTGTTGAAAAAGATGCTACTTCTACAAATGTCGAGTCTTATGTACCAGATTCTGTGCATTTTCTTCCATATTAAGTTTTTGTTTATCTTTAATGAATCTATTGCTACTTTGTGCTGAATATGCTCGCTTTTCTCTAGAACGAGAGTGTCGATGATAGAGATCTCGTATCTTTGGAGTTGGAGAATCCTCTGTTCTGTGACGGCGGTGTTGTACTCGTTGACGTCGATTGTTTAAATTGTTTACACTTGTCACTTCTCGACGTCTAGTATCTTGTGGAGAATGGATTAATTCAGATAAGTTGTTATCAGTGGTTTGTGGAGATAATCTTTCTAAACTAACGAACGATTCATGTCGTCTGTCCGAAGGAGTATCTTGTAATGGCCGAATATTAATTATCTTATGGGTGCTACTATCGGGTAAGTAGAGACGAATATAATTAGTGTTTTTGTTCTCAGAATAACTTCTATTATCATCGTCAACAACATCCGGTAGTATGCTGAAAATACACAAATTGTTCCCATCTAGATTTAAGATGAAAAATTATGCCATGATCTTGAACATACATTTTTTGTATAGTATCTGGACCAGTTTGCGTAAATACTTCATCGGATATTAGATTATATTCTGATGCTGGTATGTACTTTGGACATCCTGGTTTATGCCTTCGCTCATTATTTGACTGTTGCTGCCTAAGTGATTTAGCGGTTGATATTGGTTTTGTTGACGATTGTGGTGGTATATAGGCAGATGAAGGACATCGAGGGAATGATGATACAGATTGAAATTCTCCTTTTTGTTTCGGTGTTTCTTGTCTCATCATTGGCTGTTCATCCTTTGTTGATAAAGACACTATTTGTGGTATATTTAGAAGATTTTCGTCTGTTTTAGAAGTATTTGGTAAAAGTTTAAATGCTTCTTCTCCTTTGAGTGTTTCGCCATCTACAGGTTTTTTTGTTAATTCTATTTAAAAACTAATGAATTGATGAATTAATATGAAATTATGACTATACCTGCTGTTTTTAAAAGCTGACGACTTTGACTTTTTAATCTCCATGCGATCAAACATAGTATGAGGGATGCCAATAACAATAGCAAAATTAGACCAAGTAAAACTGCCGATAAAATATTCACAAAGTCTCTTTCACCTGAAAGGAAAACTCATGAGATGCAAGAATGACACAGTCCAAATATACTATTGAAGGCAGACATTTTTTTCTTAAACATACTACTCTTATACATCGATTTGTAGCAAAAAATCAGTTTACTGAAATTTAGAAAAGGATTTTGCATTGAAAAATGGACGGAGTTTCACCATTGGTGTCTGCTCCATCGCGGAAAGTTTTTTCCCTGGAAAAGTTCAGTCACATAATGCTCAGAAGCAAGTGGATAAAAATACAAATCGAAGCTAAAATTTTTTCAAGATTGCGTAAAGTATATTCTAAAAAAAGGAAATGTCAAAAATGTCAAATCTTATAATCGTATGTCAAGCGATATTTCTCTGTATTTCGACATTTCTGATTTAGCAACAATCGATTTGTCTATTCAATGAGGTGGTTTTCTTTTTACTACTTATCTGACAACAGATAAAGATTCTGAACGTTGAATTTTATCCAAAAATATTTTCTTTTAGAACTTCATTTAACTCGACTGAATATCGAAGTTATGCTCTAGGTCATTGTTTACTATAAACATGTCATTTTTGATCAGTGTAGAAAGTTGCAGCTGGGGTTGAGTCGAGTTCACAGTGGGCATTCTTCTATACAGCAGGCAGATATGTGACTTTTTATGTCTCAAATGTTAATATAATTAAAAAAAGTCAAAGCTGAAAAAAATTTTTTCGATGAAAAATCGGTGAGCGAGACACTTGTTCTAAATTTTCGTCAACAATTTTTTTATTTGTAAAACTAATAAATTATACGGCATTGGTTGTACTGATGTTTCATGCACTGATTCCAAATATGTCATTAGTTTTCAATAAAAGTGGTTCTTTTTAGTCGAGAAAAATCAAGGTTTTTTGTAAAATAAATATCAAAGTCCAGTAGAAAAACCGCATTGATAATGAATGCAGGACATGATCACGTAATGAAAATATTTTTCATTGACAGATAGTTGAATATGTCTAGATTCGGAATAGATACTGTTTACAAATATAATTCGCCGTAATAAAATTAAAAAAATGTGGAAAATTCTTCGCTAGTATTTAGGCAATTTTTTGTTCTTTTCCTCTTTTCTCCTAAAACTACGCATTTGGAACAAAAATTTTTTCACAATTAGATAGCCCGTAGATCGAAGTATATTTGACACTATTTGGACCTTGAAAAAGCTCACTTTCAATTTTTCACCAAATATCCGCCTGGATGCCCACTGTGGAGCTGTACTGCATACCGTAAGTTGAACACTGTGTAAACAGAGATGAGCTTGGTATACAGCTCACAAATTAATTTGAGATTTTGACTTTTCTTCTATTCTTTGATGAGATGATGGAAGAAACACCTGAACTATAGAAAGAAATTGAAACTCTCCCAAAAAGAACTTGAGAACTATATAATATAGACAATATTTGATACGCATCGAAATTATACCATCCCTTATGAGACAAAAATAATTTGGAATAACTTAACCGCGTCCACAAACCTGGTGGATATTTCGATGGCAATGGTGGTATGCTAGTGGTATCCTCGTCTAAATAATTTCAATTATTTTTATGTACACTTTTTTCGTCATTTCAATTTCTAACGCACTTTTTTTAATATTGATGAGAATTCTACAACTTCGTTTTGGATCATTTAATATTTGTTTTTCATTAAAATTATCATTATTTCTTATTGTATCGGGTATAACTGCACAGACATATTCTAACTGTAATTGTTTATCTGCCTGTAGTAAATATATAATTTTTCTATACCATACAGACGTGCCAGCATTCGTCTGAAAATCTTCTATTATGATGTCATTTTGGTTTATTTGTGTATAACTATTATTATATTTAGAATAAAATGTGAAATTTATTGGCAATGACATGTTTCCGACACCATCATATTTCACGTAATTATATTCAATTTTGCATGTTATATTTTGTTGTTCATTTTGCTTCATAGTAATGGTTGTAGGACATTTAGCTGAATGAAAACGTGTAATTAATAGATAATAGTGCGCAGTCACCAAACATACTTGACTTCGATGATATCATGACTAAACGGTATGTTATGTGTAAAATATCGTCACCTAGAAGAGACAGAGAGGCACATGTCGATTGTCAATTAATAACGTGTATACTGGAAATACTGAAAATACTAACCATCGGTTATTCCCGACTGCACTCTCAAACTTATTTCATTATAAACATCATCGACATTTGAATTTATTAGTATAAGTTGATCGTATGAATCAAATACAAACGTTTGATTTGATGTTTGATTAAGAATAAATTGTTGTTTAGTATTATCCCATCGAGCAATTTCTGTTCGTTTTATCGATTGTATTTCCATATCATTGGTAAAATCCATATTTCGTACTAACCACGATGTATGTGATTTTATTTGTTCAACTGTTATATTAATACCATCATTGACAAATATTTCTTGAATGTAAGAGAAATTAGCTGCTTCATAGGTAACATTTTGACCTTGTTCGAATGATAAGACGCGTTCATTTCTTTCTAGAAAACTTACAGTATGATAGATGCGATAGATATAAAATAAATTATAATTTACTTGAATCAACAGATGATGATCGTACTTGTCGTTTCACTTGAATTAATCGTGTTTGACGTGCCAATATTTGTTCATAAGAGAGGTTAAAATTGTTCTGTTTCATATTCTGTGTGATATGCGGAGATGAATATATAATTATGACTAAAATAAAGAGTAGAATTCAATTTACACATATAATTGATTGGTCATAAGATTTTTATAACGCTTTTCAAAGAAATGTTCCGATTACAATGAATTGCTTCCTCGTTTGAAAACAGGTCCACGACTGATACCAGCGTTTGTCCAAGCACAGATTTCAATTATCTTGTGACACATAAGAAAATACTATGAAAATTACCCGTCATTGTTTGATTGTGCCACTTATTTATAGATAAATCGAAGTACTAAATTAGACGAAATCAGTTAACATATATAACAACCGTAATTGTGTACTTAGCAGTAACTCACACGTTCACCAACAACTTCAATCGATACATAACATAAAAATCTTGTAATTGTTAATAAAATAATCGTAAATAGCTCTATCCATCCATACATAACATGGATATGTGTTCAATTAGAGAACAAGAACAATGGATCATTTACAGACAGAAATACTTTCAAATGAATGAAACCAGTCTTCCTTTATCCTAAACCTGAGTGTGATTAAGTTTTCGATACTCGATAATCAAGACAATGTCATGAGATATAAAATTGAAATCGGCTTCTAGTCATATAATCCAATTCAACATTTGGCCAGAAATAATCATTTATATGCACTAGTTGCCTTCTTAATTCTATGCTTCACTCACTGCCGGACATTTGGCGCCTTTGATCCCTCATCTTTCACTTGTGCGTGTGTGTGACAAATTAAAGGAGTCAGTAACTGTTAAACCTTCTCATATGGCTGATTTCGAAACTGAAGAAGAAAACAAAGGGGATACAAATAATGTAGACACGAGTAGTCGATCCGACCATCAAGAGACAATTGAAGTATTTAGTGACGAACAAAAATTACAAATTGATCTTGCTAAACAATTGAAAAATGAACTTAAAATATCTGTAGCTGATGAAACAGAAGGTGTTGATTATTTTTAATTTCATTTTCTTTATTATAACCTGAAGAAATACGTTATTTCTGTAGGTAAGCCATCACCTTTTAAAGTGGCTGTTGTAGGCATGAATGAATTGGGTAGTGCAACAGCATTTTTGCTTTTGTGTAAACAAGTGGTTACCGATATTGTTATTATTGATCAAAATGCTAAACGACTAGAGGGTAATGATGTTCTTGCGAAGTTGATATTACCTATTATGAGTTAATAATTTATATTTTTTAGCGGAATTTGCTGATTTGAGTACGTGTACAACATTTGTGTCTGGCGTAAACGTTCAAGCAAGTAATCAATTAGCTTCATGCGAGCAAGCGCGAGTAGTAATTATTTGTGATGTGATGACAAGCAGAGATGAAAGAAAAACAACATCTCAATACAGTAGCGATGGAAATCGTCAATCAAAAAATCAGAATCAATCAGTCGATGATAATATTTCACAGTTCAAAACGACAAGTCGGGCTATTAGTCTTTACGGTATTATTGTTGTTTATTATATGATTTTTTATTGAAATGAGACCACTTCTAAATTGATTTTAGCTCCTAAATGTGTAATAATTGTTGCAGTTCAACCGTTCGAATCTATGACCCATTTGTGCTGGATAAATAGCATAATGCCATGGAATCGTGTTATTGCACCAGGAACCATGATAGATTCTGCTCATTTTCGGTGCGTAGGAAATAAATTAGCCCTTTACTTCCGGATGTCCCCAAGCGTGGACATTAGTGGGTTATCATAGAATGACTATAACAAGATGATGATACGTCAAATCAAAAAGCGGATTTTTTTTTCTAACGTAAGCTGGCATCATAAGCTCAGCGTTGCTAATAAGAAAACTTCGTTTTTTCGAATGTAAGCAGGGGACTCAAATCCAATTTTTCGAAATCAGGATTTCCCGTAAAAAATCAGGAGAAAAACAGGAGAGTATCAGACAGTTTTTCTTAAACAAGAAAAAAAGTCTAATAACGTATACAAAAACATAGTTTTTTTTCGAGAAAACGGTTTTTTTGAAATATTTTTTGATGAAACAGTATTATCATTTGTTCCAGACTGCAGCACGGATTAGGGAAAAAGATATTGATCCGATAGGTTTGGAAGTTCACTAATCTCATCTTCTTGTGATAAGAACATTCGATAAGCACTCAGCGGGCTCTTTCAATGTACAATTATTTAAAGTCTGGATTCAGAAATTCTGTTTTTGAAACTGATAATCTCAGTTTTGGAAAAAATAAAATCGATGCAGGGAAACAATCAATTGAAAATCAGGAGGTATCAGAAGAAAATCTTAAAAATCAGCTCCTGAAATCAGGAGAATTTTCATCAGTAGAAAAGTCTAAATATCAGGAGTCTCCTGGCCAAATCAGGAGATTTGGGCACTCTGAATGTAAACCAGTTTATGACTATTTCAAGTTCGCTGTGCAAAATCAGCTCCCAGGAGTAAAGGGTTAAAGAGAGAAGCAAAGATTAATCCTATTAATACTTTTGTTTCCTTCGTTATAGACTTCTAATAGGAGAAAAATTAGGTGTCTCTCCTGCAAGCGTCACTGGTATTATATTGGGTGGTCATGGTCAGCATAACGTACCTCTATGGAATAGGTAAACAATTTTTATATTGAAAATTGTAATTGAAAAATTTCAGAGTTTGATCGCGTTTTACATAGTGTTACTATTGCTGGTATCCATTTACTATCTGAAAATCCTGATATAGGCACATCTCAAGATAAAGAAAATTGGCGAAACCTCCATTATGAAGTAAATCAACGAGAAAAAGAAATTATCAAGACCAAAGGTCACTTTTTATGACATGTGGATATCCAAAAGTAAAGAGAAATTTTTATTCATTTTAGGCACAGAAGTATGGTCTTTAGCAATGAGTTGTAGTGAATTAGTTGAATGTGTATTGCGAAACAAACGTGAAATTCATACAGTAACTGTTAATGTCAATGGTCATTATAATGTTAAACAAGATTTGTTTTTGTCATTGCCGGCTATTGTTGGTCAAAATGGCGTATCACATTTAATTACAACAAAAATGAATCCTATATTAAGAGATGAATTTTCAAATTTAATTAATAATATTAAAGAAATGATCAAACAAAAAATGAGCAATGAATATGTTGTTAATAATAAACAAGACTAGAAGTGGAAAGATAAATTGAAAGTAAAACGATATTAAAGAAATCTGATGAGAGACTATTATTTTAAAAAATTATAGAAACTAAATTTTAATCTTTATTTGCTTTTGTTTATTTTTAAGTTTAAATTTACTTGAAATACAAAGATACACATGCAATGTATTTCTGATAAGGTATATAGATGAAACAATCTTGTCAGAATCCTCTGACATCCTACGAGATCTTACAAAATGTAGAAAATGATAAAATTCCTGTTGAAGGGTCTTATGAAATCCTGTTGCAGGGCTAGAACAAGTACAAGTACCTCAAGTAAAAGTATTATACTTGTACTTGCAAAAATGTACTTGATACTTGTACTTATACTTTAAGAAAAGTACTTGGTACTGTAAAATGTTTTTATAACTGGATTAATACAAAACTAAAGCAATCACCGAAGTGCAGTTACAAAGTTTACATAGTAAAAAATGACTTATCATCCAATCGCAATTAATCGGGGGATGAATTTTTCAATTAA